TAAAAAACAAGCAACGAGAACGGAGAAGGAGCATGCACTTAAGCTTGTGACTTATTGGGAGCCTCATGGTGTTAAATCTGAATACATAAAACCTTCAAAATGCTTCTGGAGAGTAGTTTATTTATGTGTGTGTTTTTAGAAATGGCTTGCATGAGTATTATGATGCATATTGTAGATTTAAAAATGAACTAACAAATGGGGCAAAGACAGTCGAAAACAAAAACAGATAAGCCAATAGGGCACCATTATTCAATTAGAGGGCCTTGGTTTGCAACCAGAGTTATAGAAATTTGCAAAGTCATGCCTGGATGCCTTTATAAAACCTGTAATCAGGGTGGAATTACCTATTTGAGATTTTATCTAATATTATAAAGTAGAGATAATTGAATGCAGTCCAGACTCATTAAAAAAAAAATCAAATAGTCATTTAGTTCAATAGTCTCTAGTACTGTTGGACTAAATTTGTTATACGCCTGCAAACAATAAGGTATTAAGTTATAGTATTAGTAACTTGCCAGACCTGCTGGTAATGAATAATCTTAAAATAGACGGTTCTACCAATGCAGCTAGCTGAGTTCAGGGGGTCCTGCAGGGTGTTTTTGCTTTGTTTATTATTTGAATTTTAACTCCCTCAGTTTGCTGTTTTAATTACTTGGTGGCAAATAAAATGGTTTCTAACTGTAGTGTTTTTCACATCAAGTCAAGAAAACCCCCAGCAACAACAGCCCGGGCAACAATTTTCGGGGGAAAACACTGTAATAATTGCACGCAGAGAGGAGCAGTAAAAGCAGGAAGCTGTCACAGCCTCATCAGTTAGCCAGCAGTGTTTATTTATAGCTTTAAAACATAAACTAAAACATCTTCCACAGCAAAATACAGTTTTCTTTTTATATCTGAATGGATCAGAACTGCTCAATTTAAACAAAGATAAAACTCAATTAGCACCGTGATGCAGCATAAAAGGCCATCTGGTCATGCAATTTCTTCTCCTAGTGATTAACTTTGCACCAATTTTTAAACTGGTGTTTAGTGAGTTCAATTTGTTTCTGACCCACAGGGACGATGGGAAATCAGAATGAGGCAGAGGCAATATTCCACTAACAAACAGCATTCTATTTAGCAATGTTTGCACACTAGAAAATCCTCATCTGCATGCGAGGATCCAATAGTCCGATAGTGCATGTATTTTTTTTTAAATGCAATTCCATGAAGAAAGTAAGAGTTGTTAGTGATTGCACTATAAGAAAAATCGCAAGTTTGGTTAACCTTGTAATGCCAAATGTNCTCTCTACTCTCTCTCTGAACACCATGTGAACACTTAGGCTCTCTACTGCCCTCTGACACACTCCATGCACAAAGTAGACATCATCACATCCCAGAGTGAAAAATACTAAAAGAAAAACATGAAAAATAAACAGCATACAGCACATAACCCAACATACACAATATGGATTTGAAATAAATACAGAAAAATTAACTATATGATTATATGTTTCAAATCTGCTCCCTGATTTCTGATTGGTCCTCACTGTCCTTTATTTATTTGCTGGGATCTCTCGATGCGTAAATCACAACAGTCAACTATTCATTTTTCACATGAGCTTTACTTATTGCAGGAAAATATTTCTTATTCTGCTTTATTAGCAGGATTGGTTATCCCTTGTTTCAATCTTGCCTTTGTTTGCATTTCTTTCGAATTTTAAATTATTTAAAGTCAAATTTATCAAAGTGTGGGGCTGTTAATACATCAGTGGTGAGGAAGTTTGGACAGCCACTGCGCACAAAGATAAATAAGCTATGTAAATCATTTATTTAAGCATATTGATCTATGTTTCAAACAGAAGATTTGAAAGAGGAGA